GCAGGCGGGGAGGAACGCTGTTCGGGTTGTGGGGGGGCGCCAGGCCAGACTGGGCCCCACCTCCTGCCAGAACTCACATTCCCAGCTCCAAGCCAGCTCCTGGGTGTGCGTGTGGGAATCAGAAGGTGTTGCTGCCCCAGTCTGCACGGAGCAGGTGCTGTCTCCTGAGGTGAGGTTTGAGAGCCAGCATCAAGGAGGGGCAGCAGGCCTGGTGGCCAGTGGGCTTGCTGGGCTCCCTTGCCTGTTCTGTGGGCAGAGGACACCGGAGGCCTGGACATGGCCGCAGTAGGTGCTTAGAACCCAGCGGGCTCCTGGTCCTCCAAGCCCTCCCTCCTTTGCCCCTCTCCCTCCCCTCATCCTTCCCGGGCTGGTCCCAGAGCTCCTGCCTCTGCCTGTGGCTTCATGCTCGCCCAGTGGCTATAAGGTCGCCGGGTGGAGGAGAGTGGTACTGTGCCCCAAGCTGTGTGATGTGGAGCATGGCCTGGGAGTTCCTGGACAGACTGCGATGTTGTTGGCTCAGGCTGGAGTCACTCACACACACACACACACACACCTGTGACCTTGTGCTGCACTGTGGCTGTGCACACTGCCTTTGGCCCTCGTCACTCTGCATGTAGGCATGACCTGTGTCAGCAGGGCCAGTGGCCCACGTTGGCAGGGCCCTTGTCCTCTGGGCAGTGGAGCTTCAGGTGCGGGGCAGAGCTCCCCTGCGTGTATGTCCAGCACTCTGTGGTGTTACAGTATGGAAACAGGAGCCACTCTGAGATCACACATGGTGCACACCCCACCCTTTGCGCTCTGTCCTTGTATGGGGACAGAGCCAAGAGGTCCCCTGGGAGGAGGAGGAGGAGGACCTGAAGTGGTCACCTGGGCCATTCAATCCCTGGGGTTTTTGCAGGGTGACAAGGCCCAGATGTGGTCCTTGCAGGGTGACAAAGCCCAGATGATGGCCCTAAACAGCCATGTGCTGTCACTGCCTCAGAGCCCAGTGAGCTGGGGGGTGCAGTACCCATCATGCCCACCTTCCTGACATGGCACCGCTGACCCCTGCAGGTGACCAGCACCCAGGGGCCTTGGTGCCCAGCTGTCCCTATCTGGGGAATGCACCCAGGCCTCCACGTGCCCTGCTGCAGGCCTGAAACACTGACACCCTGCTCTCTGCCTCTGTCTGCACTGCACTGTGATCTGTTCCCCTCGAAGCTTGCTGCCTGGGCTGCCAAACTTGCAAAGGCCCAGTTGACATGTGCTGGTATGCAAAGAATGAAATGTAAAATCTGCTAGAGTTCAAAGACTTCAGGGATTGGGGATATAGCTCAGCACATAAGTGCCTGCCTGGCAACTTCAAGGACCCAAATTCGATCCCTGGTACCAAAATCAACAAAACAAAAACAAAAGCAAAGATTTAGGTAAAAAAGTAAAATATTTATTTTTCTTTTTTCTTTTCTTTTCTTTTTTTTTTTTGCATTTTTAGGGCAGGGTCTACAGGGTGTTCAGGGTCTCACTACTAGATCAGATTTTGTGATCTATCTGTTTACAGCCTCCCAAGTGCTGGGATTACAGGCGCGCGCCACCATGCCCAGTCTCAATTGCCATCTCAGTGTGCTCTGAGCGCAGGGCTGGCATGGCAGGCCTGGGGATCGAACCTCCAGCCCTTATACCTGCTTGCAGGTGCTTTAATCCACTGAGCTATTTGGCCGGCCTGTAAAATATTTCATTAATAATTTTTATGTAATCCACATCTTGAAATAATTGGGAATAGTGGGGGCCAGCGAGATGGCTTAGCAGTCTAAAGAGCCTGCTTAGGCAAGTACAGGGACCACGATTTGATCCCCAGCAGCACATGCTGTGCCAGCCCCACCCTCAGGGTGGGCTGAGCCAGCCATACACACACACACGCGCGCGCGCGCACACACACAAATAAGGGTGTATTGGGACAAGTGAACTGTCACTGTGCATTTTGCCTGTTTATTGTTTTATTTTTTAATTTTTGGGGGGATTCCAAGAATTGAACTCAGGACCCCATGCTTGCCAAGCAGGCACTGCGCCACTGGACCCTGTTCATTGTTTTAATTGGGACATCATCCCCGCCCTGCATTAGGCCCCTTCCACTGTGTGTCATGTGGGCTCTGGAGCTCAGTGGCCCCGCAGCAGTCGCAGTGTCAGTCTCCGAGCCTGTTTCTGCAATTGTGTTTCAGTGAACTTACAAGAAGCGCCTGATGCTCTGAGCTGACAAGGTTTAGATAGAATTCAAGCCCTTTGTAATAAGATTTAAAGTTAAGGTAGACCTCAACTTTAAATGAGTTAAATATCTATTGGTTAAATAACCAATGCAGATTATTTAATAAGCCAAAGAGGTACAGTACATCCCCTGCTTATGACCAATGAGCTCCTCTCCCGAAGAAGTCAGGTTCTCTCCTAAGGGAGTTTTCTGCAAAGCCCAAGAGAGGTTGCAACTTGAGGTTCATAAATCAGGATGTAGTGGTCAGCACCCAAGTGCACTCTACTTGCTAGACTGTGATCAGCATCCTGCTCCAGTTGGACTTTTGGAGACCTAATATTTTAAAAACCAGTTGTTTGAAAATGTGTCGTGCCTGGCTGTAGTAGCGCACTGTGTTGGATTCCGTTGGTCTCTCAGTGTACCTTGGGGAGAAATGGCGGCAGGAATGAGGAAAAGATAGACAAGCAGACAAGAGCTGGGTCAGGTGGTGGCCTGTTTCCTGATTGGAAAATGATCCCGACAACAACAGTTGGGAAATTTGTTTATACCTTTGCAAAGTTAGTATCAAGTGAGACAAGTTTGCCTGGTGACTAATAGCTGACATGAACCAGGCAGGATGCTCGGCTCAAGACTGAGGTAGCTTGACTGCTTCAGGCTCTGAGGCCTAGTCCTGCTCTCACACAGTGGACCAATTTCCAACTTCAGTGGCTCCCAACAGCACCTGTGATCCCAGCCGTGGGGGAGGCTGAGGCTGGTCTGTAGCTCCTGTCTCAAATAAAACCAAAGAAAAAGAATGGTAATGTACACTGTGGCCTTGGAAATTTCATGTGAAACACTGACCTTATTCCTCAAGGAATATCATACAGAAATAATCTGATCTTGTTTCTCAGGGTAGAGTGAGCATAACAGATGCATGCCTGGCACAGCCTGAGCTCTTCCTCTGTGTTCCTGGTGGCACTTCCAGCCTCTTCTGTATGTTTCAAGGACACCTCACGCATGCATCTGACTGCCTCCCCACTGCCACCAAAATAGGAAGAACAGCCTCATTTCTAGGGTGTAGTATATTAGCTCATTTAAAAATAATTGTGTTGAGTATGAGTGTTATTCCTCCTTATAACATATAGAACATAAAAAGTTGGGAAGCACTTGTGTAGTTACAAGTACATAGGGGAAGATAAAAATGTAATTTTTTTGTGGGAGAATAAAGTCCCATAGAAACAGACATAGCTTCAGGTATTTCAAAATTGTACCAGCTGCTAAACTCCCAGATAGTTGCAAAGGAATGTGGATTTTCTGGCAGAGGCTGAGGGTAAGGGGCAGAAGAGGAGCAAGTAGAGCCATCTCCAGACCTCCTCTGGGTCAGGGGTGATGTACAGGCATGCCGCAGGGGTGTGGGGGCCACACCCCACTTGTGTGGGGAGGATCTGCTGCTGCTTTTGGAGGAATGACTGACCCCAGAGGAATCGGCTGCAAAGCGAGCTATTATATGTTCATTCCCATTTCGCTGTGTGCTAAGGCTCAGAGTCAGGGTGGTGCGTTTGTGTACAGTTGTGTACGGCTCCGCACCATGCTGTCCGCTCACAGTGTGGTCCAGGGCTCTCTGGGATGGGCTCATGTGCGTCACTGAGGATCAGTCTAAACCCCTTGGACACTGAACCTCTCTCTTGATGCCCCGAAAATGTTCCTTCCAGGCGCTGCTTTTGCAGCACTGACTTCCTCAGGTGCCTCAGACCCTGGGATTGGTGAATGTTTTCTTTCTAAAACTGGCTTGCTGTTTATCTTGACTCAGTATCCCTGAGGTGCATCTGTGATGTGACAGATGTCACAGTTTCCCTCTTTTTAGGAGCTGCCTGCTACTTGCTGTATGTATATATCACAGCGTGTAGATCTATTCATTTGTCAGGGCCACTTACATGGTCCCCCACTTTGACTAACCACAGGGAATGTAGGTTGCAGGTATCTCAGAGGAGCCAACTGGGATTTTATTTATTTTACATCTGTATGGGATTGTGGGGTCCTGGAGAGATCTTTTGTTTTTTTTAATTGAACATCTACAAGCCCTTCCCATGCGTAGCTCAAGTTTCAAGCTATGAAAAGCTGATTCCCATAGAATAGGCTATCCTGTCCCTTCCCAGTCTCTGCAATGGCCGAACAGAGTAAATGCCCCCTGGAAAATCTCTTCTCCCCCATTGCCACCCTCAGGCATTGCAGGTACAGTGTGAGCAGTGAGGTCACAGTCAGGAGCAGCCTACTGGGGCTGGCAGTGGGCTTTGCCTTTCATGGACACTGGGCTCTGTGCCACGAAGGCTTCCTGTCCCTTGGTGTCCTGTCTCCCGGAGTGGGGCAATCCACTGCACCCTTGGGGGACTTAAGTGAGGGGACAAGTGGAGTAAAGCCGTGGCTGGAAGGGCCCTGCAGCAGGGCCTTGGGGCTCGGCATGTGTATTCGTTGTTATTCTCTTCTTTTGGTTCTGTGCTGCTTTTCCCTCTACTGTTGGTTTACTCATGTAACCCACGGTGCTGTACCTCCTCGTCCACAGCCTCTGCACAGGAGTGGCGAGGGCCCTTTGGTAGGAGCTGAGAGTCCCCTGTAGCCAGCCTGGGTTCAGAGTTGGGTTTTGATGGAAGTAGCTGTGGGTCTGCTGTTTGATGGGGCCAGGGAGCCAGCATCTGCCCCAGGTCACAGGGTCGCCTTCCAGGTCCTGTGCCCCTTCCCAGCATGCATGTCATGGGGTGCTGGGCTGCTCAGCAGGATACTTCACACTGTGTTTGTTTCCTTGCAGGCTGCATTAGTGAACAACATCACCACAGGTGAGAAGCTCATCAGAGACCTGCAAGGTAAGCTGCCCACCCTACCCGGTGAGCACTGGGCTTCCCAGAGAACCCACCTTCTCCTACACCCCTTGGAGCGCTCAGAGGTGCACTGGTGCTCATGATAGGCAGTGTTAGGCTAATTGAGCAATGTTTCTTGTGGTGCTGGGGATCCAAGGCATTGTGCATGCTAGCAAGACATCCTGCCACTAAGCCCCACATCTAGTGCTTTTTAAACTTCATTTTCAGATGCGGTTTTGCTCAGCTGCCCAAGATGGCTTCAGGCAGCTGTGATTGCAGTCAGGCCCACGGCAGCTGGCAGACGGGCTTTCATGGGTTCTTTATGCCATATGTTCTTAAAACATTTGCCTTTAACAACATTAGTGAATGTATTGCACAGCATTAAGAACAGGATTTGGACTCTCCTTTGTAACTAGGGTAAGAAACACTGGGCCGGAATGTAGCTCAGCAGCAGAGTACTTACCTGGTGTGTGCTAGGCCCTGGGTTTGATGCTTAGCACTGTTTAAAAAAAAATTACATAGAGCATCCCTAGTCCATACATGTAGGATTCTAGGGTGCTTCAAAATGTGAAACTTTTTCCACACCTAACTCACAAGCTGAGTCACAGTGAAATTGCACAAAATTACTAAAAATGTCACAATAACTCCCTTCAGGCCTAAACATATATATATATATATGCATGGATCTCCTGTTTGTACCTAGTCACATCCCGCGATACTGCAGGAAATACTCTAGGTCTGAAACAATTGGAAACACTTCTATTTCCAAGCATTTCTGATAAGGGATGCACAACTCTATATGGTGTGTGTATGAACTGTTTTATATATGTGCAGGGCAGGGAGAGAGACAGAGACAGACAGAGAAGCTGTGTGTGTGGTTTAATTGAGTCACCTGAACTTGGATTTTTCATGAAGCTCAGAAAATCTTTGCCGCCAGTTCAGTTCTTTCTTTGCTCTGCGGTATGGTGTGGCAGCTCAGGTTTCCTCTGGGTGGTGATGGGGTAGGGTGGGGGGCAACATCCTCAGGGAGGGGCAGCGCAGCCCTTCTGTAGCTGGGGGCATGGTGAAGGAGCTCAGGGCTCGGGCAGGAAGCTCCATAAGCCACAGGTGCTCGCCCTAGTACCGTAGCCAGAAGCCCCGGTGGTTGATGAAGGCCTGACGTGGCCAGGAAGACAGAAGAGCCAGATACTTAGTTCTTCTGTTTTCAGTAATTTAAAACTGATACTTGACTCAGCTATTGGGAATCTTAAGTATGTGTGGCACAATGTACATGTATTAACTCACTTAACTGTAACTTTTATTAAATCTAAATTCTAATTAAGAATTTCTCATAAGCCAGATGTGGTATTGCACACCTGCTATCCCAGCTGTGAAGCTGAGGCAGAGTTGAAAGTTTAAGCCCAGCCTGGGCAACTTAGTGAATTGCCAAGACTTTGCCTCCAAATTTTAAAAGAGATGGGGATATAGCTGAGTGTGAAGGCCCTGGGTTCAGTCCCCGGGTTCAGTCCCCAGGGCTGCAGAAAACAAAACCTAATTACAGTTTAACAACCGAATGGAAATGTTCTATAATTATAAAATAAAGCCTGGAGAAGAATTTTTAAAATCTCATCCAAAATGTTTACATTAAGTATATATTGGCATGACATTTTCTGTCAGGTTAGATAAGGTATTAGAGGAGTACCACCTGGTTTTACTTACTTTTTGAACCATGGCTCTTAGGAGCATACTTTCCCTATGTGACATTTCCATTGTAGTCTGGGCTCTAAGTCCCATCAGAGCATAGGAAACCTGCTTTGTCGTTGACACTTCATCAGCTCCCAGTGCTGGCTGTGCACCCACACACAGCCTCTGGTCTGCTGCTATCAGCAGATGAGTTTGCATTCTCCACAGGTGTGTCTGCGTGGAGTCACACCATCTGTACCATGTGTCTGGCTTCTTTCATTACTCTAATCACCGTGCAGTCTGTCCATGTTGTATGAGGAACCACGGTGCGTTTCTTTTCATTATTGAGCAGCATCCGCTGTCCCATGGCTTGGTTTCATTATGAACCCTTCCTGGGAGAGTCTTCCTTGTGGAGCCCATGTCAGGGCGTGCTGGCAGGAGCCAGTCTCACAGCAACCACTGCTGTCCTCCCTCCAGGCTGTGCCCTCAACCTGGCCCCCGTGCTAAGGCTTTGCAGTTGTGCTGCCACTAGCTTGGCCACAGGCACTGCTGAGATGTCACCTATGGATGCTTCTGAGTGGAGCAGTAGTTCCTGGAACCCCAGCCCCATACATCTTGCCAGTCTAGGCTGTAAGCATAGACATGGGGGATGTTGACAGTAACTGAGGGCCGTGTGTGGCCCTGCTTGCTACTGCTTCCCTCTCTGGTAGGCCAGTGTTGCTGCTTTGTCTTCTGCCCAGCCTGGCCAGGCAGCCCTGCTGGTTTCTGCAGAGCTTTTGTGAGCAGAGCTGTCAGGCAGAGGTGGGGGTGATGAGTTGGAAGTGACTGCTGCCCTGGCCCAGGGCCATGGGGAATGGTGCGGTACACAAGTGCCGGGGCAGCATCCCCACAGGGGACCCACGTGTCCAGGTCAGGATAAGAGACACAGGCATGGCAGTGGCCTCCAGGGACAGCCTAGGGCTTGCTCTCTGACAGTAGCAGACACTTGGATCTCCCAGCATATGGTAAGTGTTAGAGGTCAAGGAGATTCAATAGACATTCAAGAAATAATGAAGTCAGGTTCCTGAGTGGCCCTCAGCCTGCTGGGTGTAGCTGGCAGGGGCTGGAGTGTCTCCTGTCATCTCCTCCCTCCTTTCCCCTTTGTGTTCTGACACGGCATGTTTCAGGAACCTGAGTGACTTGTCCTCTTCCTTTTTTTTGTGGTGGAACCAGGGAGTGAACTCAGGCCCTTGCACTTTCCAGGGAAGCGCTTATTCTACTGAGCCATTTCCCTGGCCTCCCTTGTCCTCTTCTTGTCACAGACCAGCTGAAGGCCCTGCAGAGGAGGTACGGGCGGCTGCAGCAGGATGTGCTCCAGTTCCAGAAGAACCAGACCAACCTGGAAAGAAAGTTCTCCTATGACCTGTGAGTACCTGTGCTTCCCAGCTGGGACAGCCCAGCCAAAGGCCAAGCATGGCTGCAGCAGGCTCACTTGTCCTGTCAGAGCTCGGAGCTCTCAGTACTCGGAGGCTGAGGCAGGAGAATCCTGTGAGTTTGAGGCTAGCCTGGGCTGCGTGAGCAAGTTCAAGGCCAGCCTGAATGACATAGTGAGACCCTGCCTCAAAAACAATACAAAACAAAACCAAAAAATCCCAAACAAAACAGCATAGAACTTGTGGCATATGCAGGGCTCTGTGAGAAAGGGGTCCTTCCAAGGCTCGTGTGCTTTAGAAACTGTGAATTCTATTTTAAAAATGTTAGCAAGTACTTCAGAAGCAATGGGCTAAGTGTCAGCCAGCTGGATTCATAACACAAAATATGGAGGAAAAAAAGGCACAGGTAATGGAGCGTTCACACACACTCTTACCCCTCACTGCCTTACACACAGCAGTTCTCAGCAGGAAGAGAATTGCTCAACGTACCATAAAGCTCAGCGTAGCTTAAAATTCCATATAGCTCAGGTGTACCAGCCAGCAGTTGTTAGCCAACAATCTGATTCCTTTAGAAATGAGTTCTAGGACTGCTCCAAGGTGGGCCAAATCAAACTCATGTACTAAAGAACATTTTAGCATAGAATTTATTACTGGATGATGACATTGTGGGTGTTTTGTTTTCTTGAGGCTTTCCAGTGTTTTCCCAAATGTCTGCAATGTGAATGGAATACTTTTATAGTCATTGTGGGAAGCTCATTGGGAAGATAGTAAAAACCAGGTCACAAGGTAGAGAATAAACCTGGAGTCTGTTTATTTTCACCATTCTTCCTGTTCTTCCTGTCATAAAAACAATAAAAGAGAAGTGTAGGTATCGAGAGAGTGTGCTGCCACCCATGACTCCTGCTCCCCCATGTTTGACCTTTTCCCCTGACTTCCCAGTCCGGGTCCACATTGTAGGATTTTTTTTCTTCTATAATTGCTGTAACCATAAGAAATTATAACAGTATTTTTCACTTACATTATATGTAAAAAATTAATGCACTCTTGTGTTTCATCATTTATGATTATTTTGGATTATTTTTTTTTCTTTTGGCGGTACCAAGGATCGAACTCAGGACCTTGCGCTTGCCAGGCAGGTGCTTACACCACTGAGCTATATCCCCGGCTGGATTATTTCTTATATTTTATTATATAAGATATCCCCCTGCAGCATTTCACCAAGTGTGAACTCCCAGCTTACTTTCTGAAGGCTTCCAGCACCTGTCCCCCCACCCCCTAGGAGGTGAGCAGCCTCACCCATGGCCTAATGGGGGTGCCCCTATGCTCCAAAAACACTGCCTACTCTCCTGGATTTCTCCGTCATTGCTCTAAAGCCAAGTACCATGGGACACATGAGGCCCAGTCATGGCCCTGCACTCTTTAGGATGGGATGGATGGGTCTGGGAGTGCGTCATCAGGGCTTCCTGCGTGGCCATCATGCACTCAGTGCAACCTGAGCTGGGCTGGGCCATGGCACCATAACCCACAGCCGTGTGTGTAGCCTGTCAGTGCCTGGTACTTTGTCACGTGGTCCATAACTGTAAGCGCACTGAAGACGTGAACCCAGAGTCCATACAAGGACTGAGCTAGCTGGAGGGCCAAAGGGCACAGTGTTGGGGAAGGGCGTGTGTGCCCATAGCACTCACCCAGGTCGAGTGTGCACATGGGCACACCTGCTAGCTTAGACTGACAGCTCTTTTTGAGACCCTTTTTTGAGAATCTGAGGGGAAGTATGGGCACCTTGGTAGTGTTTATATTTATAGAGATGTGTGCATCGAGTTGTCAGGATTTGTAGCCCCAGGAACTACCTGCAAGCCCTGCACTAAGTCCCTGGTGTGCTTGGACCCCTTTCATCACACAGTGAGGAGAACATGAAAGCTGACGAAAGGCCTGATGCATAAGCTAGTGCTTTCTCAGGACCATTAGTCAGCATGCCCTCTTCCCCCTCCTGCATAGGTGCGGACATCACTAAGCCCAACCCTGTCCAAACGCAGCCCCCAGCCTTCCTCCTCGAACACTTGGGATAACCCACTGCAGTCGTATCTGCACAGTGCAAGGAGCAGCTTATACATGTGGTGCTGGAATGCAGCACAGTCCTGAGCAGTGGCCCTTGCTCTGGATGAGAGGACTGCCCAGCTTGCCAGCTTCCTGCTTTGCACTCAGGACTGTGGCTGTACTCTCAGCCAACAGCTGCATCATTTAGAAAAGTCACCAGGGCCAAGTCCTCCAGTTCTCTATGAGTTAGCTCCTGTTAACCCTGGGCTCTGGCCTGCACCTTAGGAAGTAAGGCTGTCACAGCCTGTACAGGCTGTCTCAGAATTTGAGCTTGCACCAGGTGTTGTCCTTGGAGAATGAACCTCAATTGCTCAGCCCAAAGTTTGAGGCCCTCTGTGCGTCCTTTAGCAGGCTTGAAGCAGGTGAAATCCTTTGGTGGGGTTACAGGGTAGCAGTTGAGCTGCTCCTTTGGTTCCTCAGGGCACAGCTCTCTCTCTCTCTTTGCTGTGTCTAAGCTCCTGTGTGCCAGTCTACCACCCGAGTTACACTACATATTTTTTCACAAGTTTATTCCTGTTTTTCACTCAGTCAAGCTTTTTGAGGTCAGAACTCGTGTTTTATTCTTTCTGCAGTACTGACCGCCTTCTGTGTGTGCAGTGCTGTGATCCAGTGGTGCTTTGCAATGCATGTGGTAGGTCAGGCCGAGCATAGGACACACGTGGCTCGGTAGAGCTGCCTACTCAGCAGAGGCTGTGATGGAGTCTGGCTCCCAGCTCCCGCATTAGCAGCGTGGCCCATAGCAGGCAGTCAGCTCACCTGTCTGTTGGCACTCTTGTTGGCAAAGCAAGTGGATGATTCTTTCAACTATTGTACAGCTCTGATACTTGCTGAAATATTCATAAATTCCAATGAGAAGGCTGTAGCCTCCAAGTACCTAACAAAAACCAGTTCTTTGATAACTGGGTGTCCTCCAATCCAGTTCAGTTTTGATGCTACCCAGAGTTAGATCCTATAGGTTAAGATCTCAAGTCTACAACAGTGTCCCCACTTCACACACCAACCATAAATCTTGGTTGCCCCCTCACCACCCCACTTCTACTTAGATGCCTGCAAATTCAAGGTTGCCTGCCACTCCCCTTAGGTTTAAAAATTGATCAGAATGACTCATAGAACCCAGGAGAGCTGACTTTTGGTTATGGTTTTATTATACAGCATGCAGCTTGAAGCAGCCACATGGCAGGAGCTGTAAGGGCAGGTGTGTGTTATGGTAGGTGGGCAGGGCTCTGGCTGCAGAGTCAGGCTGCTGCCTTTCTAGTGCACCAGTATCTCCCCAGCCTGGAGACTGACCACACTGGGGCTCTGGCAGCTGTCTGGTGCGATGACCTAGTGGGACTGATAATCATTGGCCATGAGATTAGATGCAGTCCCCTTTCCTGGACAGAGTGGAGCTAATGTCCCACCCCTCCATTTCTGTGGTTGGTTTCCCTGGCAACCAGTCCATCCTGAAGCCATCCACTTACAGCCACCCTGACCTGTGAGTCAGTGCTGAAGCTCAGGCTCTGCAAATGACCAGTCACTCCTGCACTCAGGAAAGCCCGTGCTTACAGAACTGCTGGTAGTCAGAGACAAAGATTGAATCTATTTTTTTTTTTATTCTATAGATTGTATTTTAAAAATTGTAATCAGTAAAGTTCATCTTTTTTAGAGAAATGTGACAAATTTTTAGTGGGTTTCATCTAGCAGTTTTTTGTTTTTGTCATTAGTAGCTGAGACCAGGCACATTGTCCTGCCCTAAGCTAGTTCTGCAGGGAGAGTTCCTGAAGCAGGAGAGAGCAGTCTGCCTATCACTGAAGTGGATTTCAGAGTCTGACACACGAGCAACATGGCACATAGTCACATCTGTAAATCTTTGTCCCTTCTTTGGCTTTTTTTCACCAAAGGAACCAATGCATCAGTCAGATGAAAGAGGTGAAGGAGCAGTGTGAAGAGCGAATAGAAGAGGTCACTAGAAAGGGACATGAAACTGCAGCTTCCAGAAAGAGTGAAAGAAATGACCAACGTCAGCAGGTAACGGGGTTTTCTGCCTGGACGGTCCAGAAGGCATGGTTATCCTCTCGCCAGGCTTCTCCTTTCCAGTCTGATTTGCTGTATCACTGCTCTCCACTCTGGGTTTGTTCTCTGAGATGCAGCACAGCAAAGTCTGGCCCCAGCATGCCAAAGGCTCACCCTGGGCCCAGGTCCCAGACTCAGGGCTGTCTGGGAGTTACTTCCTTGAACGCACATGGCTATGAACAGGATAGGAGGCAGAGGCTGCTATTTATGACTTTGAAGGTGCTGAGGCCAGTGGAAATGTTAAGTACCATGGTGAGCATGCCTGATCCGGGGTGCACCTGGGTCTCTCCAACAGCACCTCCTATGCTGTCACCTCCCTCCCGTGCCACCCCAGCCAGGGCCACCATGGCACAGGGCCTTCCTAGAGATGGTTGATATTTACTACTACAGCAACTTTATTGAGGCATAATTCATATTTATATGCTTAGCTCATACAAAACTTATAATTCAGTGGTGTTCGGTATACTTACGTTGTGCAGGCATTGGCATGACCAAGTTTAGAATGTTTTGCTGCAAAGAAACTCTTCTTTTACTCCTCACAGCCAGAGAATTACCAGCATCCTTTCTGTCAGTGTACATTTGGCTATCTGTAGATTTCCCATCAGTGGAATCGTACAATGCATGCATAGCCTTTTGTGTGTGGCTTCATTTCTTTAGTATAATACATTTAGGATTCATTCATACGGTAGACTATTTCATCAGTTTCATTTTTTATAGATGAATAATTTTCCATTGTGGATGCTTCATATTTTATTTACTGACAGTTGGTGGACTTTTGGGTTTCTGCATTTTGACTATCATGAATAAGCTTTTTGTGTGGAAATATTTTCATTTTCTTGATACCCAGGAGTGGAATTCCTGGGTCATGTGATAGTCTATATTTAATTTACTGAGAGACAGCCAGACCCTTTTCCACAGTGGCCATGCTGTTTTTCATTCGCACCATCTGTTTCTGAGTGTTCCTTTTCTTTACACATTACATCCTTGTGAACTGTTGTTCCTGTCTTTTTTAGCATATCCCTTCTAGTACACATGTAGTAATACATCATTTTAGTTTAGATTTCCATTCTCTAATAACCAGTAATATTTAGAATCTTAATGCTTTAGTGGCCATTTGTGTATCTTTGGAGAATATGTTCAAATATTTTGTTCATTTTTAAATTATTTTTATTATTAAGTTTTAAGTTTGTAATATATTCCACATATAGAAAGATACATGATATTGGATATATGATTTGCAAAGTATTACGTTTTCCAGTTAGGTAGGGCAAGAGCTGTACCACTGAGCCACATCCCCAGCCCCATTTTTCTAATTATATAGGTTGCTTTTATAATTTCTTGGTGGTGTATGTTTGACCCATTTTGAGTTAATATAATTTTGTACATGGTGTGAGGTAAGGCTCCAGTGTTAGTGTTTTCTGTGTACATATCAACTTGTCTTAGTACCATTTGTTGAAAAAAAAAAAAAAAAAACAATACCACGATTGTCCTCTTCCTCACTGAATTATCCTTGCACCTTTGTCAAAAATAAGTTTATTATAACTTAATCAGTTTGGGGCCAGCCAGATAGGTGGACTAAAGTGCCTGCTTAGGCAGGCTCAGGGACCAGGGTTTGATTTCTGGTGTGCCATACCAGCCCCACCCCTGGGGCACACTGAGATGGTGATTGAGACTGGGTGTGGTGGTGTACACCTGTAATCCCAGCATTGGGAGGCTGAAAACAGGAGGATCACTATGAGTCCGATCTGTGTAGTGACACCCTATAGACCCTATGCTGACTATATTAAAAAAAAAAAGTAAACCAGTTGATTGCAACTATGAGGGCTTCTGTTTATTATGTCAGTTTATTATGTCAGTACTAACAGACTTGATTATAATAGCATTGTAGTGAACTTTGAATTCACGAAATGTGAGTCCTCCGATTTTGTTGTTCATTTCCGAGATTGGGCTATTCTGCATTGCTTAACTTTTTGTATGAATTTAAGATTGGCTTGTCAGTTTCACCAATAAAGTCAGGTAGGATGTTGCTAGGGATTAGATCAGAAGTGTAGATCAATTTGAGGAATACTCTAGTATCATTTTAACAACATTCAGTCTTAATAATCTGTAAATGTAAAATATCTATCCTTTTATTTGATCTTTAACAAAAACCTCTTTCAGTAGTTTTTTATATTTCTAAAAAGTCTTGCAAGGGATCAGGGATCAGGGGATATGACTTAGTGGAATAAGCGCTTCCCTGGCAAGTGCAAGGGCTTGAGTTCAATCCCCGGTTCTGCAAAAAAAAAAAAAAAAAGTCATTTCTTTTTTAAAAATTAATTTATATTTTATGCTGTTATTTATGGAAGTCTCTTTAATTTTTGCATTGTTTACTGCTAATATTTAAAATGTAATTCTGTTTATATTGATCTTCCGTTTTGTAACCTTGCTAACTTTACTCTCTTATTTTTGTTTTTCAGTCATTTTTTAGGTCTTTCTATATATAAGATTACATCATGTACAGTGATAGTTTTGTTCCTTTTCCAGTCTGTATGCTTTTATTTCTTTTTACTGACTGATTCTTTTGGCTAGAACCTCTAACATAATGGTAAGTATTTGTACACAGTGCAGACATCCTTATTTTGCTCCTGATCATAAGGATCTATCATGAGTCTATCATGATTGCTTGATGCTAGCTATATCTTTCACTATATCAAATTGAAGACATTGTCCTAGTCTTATTTTTTTAAATGTTGACCAGAGAAGAGTGGTTGGATTTGTCAGCTTCTTCTATTGCAGCAATTAAAAAGATCTATTTTTTTGCTCTTTCTGTGTTGAAGCTACATCATCGATTGATTTTTTTAAGTATATCTTGCTTTCCTTTTTTTTTTTTTTCTTCTATTTTATGTATTTGTTACAGGGTCTCACTACACAGCTCAGATTTGTAGTGATCCTCCTGTTTTCAGCCTCCCCAGTGCTGGGATTACAGGTGTGCACCACTATGCCCAGACTTGGTCGCTGACTTAGCACACCCTAGGGGTGGAGCTGACACAGCATGTGGGACCAGGGTTCAATCCCTGGTCCCTGTGCTTGCCAGAGCAGGTGCTTAGTCTGCTGAACTATCTGGCCAACCTTGATTTTTTTTTTTTTTTTTAGTGTCAATCCATCCCAGGATAAGTCCTGTATAGTCGAGGTATATAATCCCTTATATTTCACTGGATTTGATGTACATTTTGTTGAGGATGTGGGTGTCTCTGATAGATTTTGTTCTATCATTTGATTTTCTGGTAGCACTTTTGTTTGATTTTAATATTGTGATAATAGTGGGTTCCTAGAATGAATTAGGGAGTATTTCTTCCTGTTCTGATTTTTTAGAAAGCTTTGCCAAGTTTTGCAATTCTTTAAATGTTTGGTAGAATTCACTAGGGAAGCTATCTTTACCTAAGCTTTTTCTTTGTGTAACATTTTTAAATTACTAATTCAATCTCTTTTCTTGTTAATAGTTCTATTGAGAGTCTTCTGTTTATTTTTGAGTTAGTTGTGATAGTTTGTGTCTTTCCAGGAATTTTCCATTTCATTTAAGTTATCAGACTTATGGCATACAGTTGCTCACAGTATTCCCTTATAATACCTTTGTATGTATTAGTGATGTTTTCATTTTTAATTTTAGTAATTTAAACCTTCCCTTTTCTTTATTAACCTAGCTATGGGTTTCTCAATTTTGTCAAAGAACTTTTTGTTTCATTGACTTTCTGTATTTTCCTATTCTCGATTTCATTAGTTTCTGCTCTAATCTTTATTTCCTTCTTTTATTAGGTTTGGTTTGTTCTTCTTTGTTTTTTAATATATCAAGTTGGAAGTGATTCAGTGATTTATTTATTATTTATTTTGCGGTACTGGGGATTGAACTCAGGACCTTGTGCTTGCTAGGTAGGCACTTAAGCACTTAAGCCGCTGAGCTATCTCCCCAGCCCTTCAGTTATTTATTTGAGATCTATCTTCTCTCCCTTTTTGGTAAAGACATTAATTTTTCTAGAGCTGTTTTGGATTCACAGGAAAATTGACAGGAGGGTACAAAGATTTTTCATGTGCCCCTGCAGCACCTCTACATACACGTACCTTCCCATGGCCAGCATTTCCCTTCATGGTCAATATGTATAACTACCCAGTTCCCATAGTTTGGACAAATAATAAGGGCGTGTATCCATCGTTATACTATCACACAATATTTTCATTGCCTTAAAACACTCCTTTCTACTCTACCTATTCATTGCTATCTCCTTCATGAGCCCTAACAAATACTGGCCATTTTACTATCTCCAAAGTTTTATCTGATCCAAAATATCTTAGAAATGCAATCATACCATTAGTAGACTTTTCAGATTGCTTCTTCCACTTAGTTCACATTTATTTCTGTGTTTCTTCTAGCTCTGAACTGCTATCTATAAATTGTCTTTATGTACCACAGTTGGGTTTATCCTGTCACCTACTGAAGGACACTGTGGTTACTTTCAAGTTGTTGGGTTTTTTTTTTTTTGTATCAGAAATTGAACTCAGGGCCTTGTGCTTGCCAGGCAGGTGCTGTGCTACAGGCTGTATCTCCAACCCCACCAAGTTTTGTTAATTGTGAATAAAACTGCCCTAAATATTTATCTGCATTTTTTTTATGTGTGTGTGAATGTAAATTTTCAGGTCCTTTGAGTAAATGCTTAGTGCCCATGCAAAATCATATGGAAAAAATTTGTTTCATTTTATATGAAACTGCTTAAACTGCCTTCCAGAGTAGCATGCCATTGTGTGTTCACACCAGCAAGGAATGAGAGTTCCTTTTTGTCCACAGCATTTGATGTTAGTGGTGGTCTAGATTTTGGCCACTGTAATTTGGTGTGTTGTGCTGTCCTATTATTTTTAAAATCTGTGCTTCCCTGACACACGATGGAGCATGTTTTCGTAACATTGTCTTTGGTAAAGTGTTTCTT